GAAGCAAGTGCTGCCTGGAGCCTTCACCCCCTCCTGCACCCCAGCCCTGAGCCCCCCACCCAAACTCCTGCTGCTATTGGCGGGGGGTGGGGGTGGCTGCTGCAGAAGTCACAGAATCCGTGACCTCCATGACCTCCGTGACAAACCCGCAGCCTTAACTATGAAAAACAATCAGTCTACACTAGGCCTGTTTACATGTCAATTTTTATTGTATGTCCCCAAAGGGCATCTAAAACTCAGGTTTAAATAATTTTTATAAGTATTCTCCCCTCCTCCCCCTCGGACTTGTAGCTGTTGTTTAACCCTTTCCTGTGAGGATCCATGATGTCTCAATGTGAAATATTGTTGTGAAACCTTTCTGCTTGAGCTTTGCAATTCTGCAGCCTGGTGAGAGATTCTTCCTCCTGCACTGACATGTTGTTTTGTGTCTTTTCCAGTGTTCACCAAGAATCTCTGCAGCCAGATGTCTGCTATCAGTGGTCCCCTCCTGCAGTGGCTGGAGGACAGACTGGAGCAGAATAAACAGCGGGTGCAGGAACTGCAGCGGGAGAAAGAGGAGCTCATGGAAGAACTAGCTGCCCTGGAGTGAAGAGGAAACCCCAGACCTTTTTTTGTTTGGATTGGACAGGAGTGACATGTGCCTGATGTGTGGTCTGTCTTGCCTTTCTATGAAGATGCTACTTGTTCCTCTCATCTCGCTTCATGTGACAGCTCCCAAGAACGCTTCCACAAGATGACCAAGGGCTCACATCTGTCTCCAGCTAGATTGGAAAGCCTTGTGCTGCCTGTGTGAAAAGTCCACTCTGGGTGCACAAAGGAGCAATCCAGCACCACCCTAACTAGGGTGATTCAGCAGCACACTCTTGGGAAGAGACCATAGCTCTAGGAGGGGGATACCTAGTGAATTTATTTGGTTCCCCTCTCCCCTGTTGTTCAACACACATCTTTTTCCTATATATATATATTGCTGGGAGCCTGGAACCAGAGGATCATGGGTGGGGTAATAGCTGCATTTCTACAGTAATCACAACTTCTCTGTTGTAGCAAATAAATCAAGCAACTCGCTAGTCATGGTCAGAGAAGGGTGGGGGGGAGGGTGCTATGCCCTTGACACTGCCAATTTTGCCTCCTTTCGGTAGCTCCAGTTGACAGGTAGTGGCTTGATGTCCAGTAACTTTCTGGATTACTGATTGCATACTCTTGCACGTGTGGTAGGGTGGGGGTAGATGCGGCCAAGATGAAGGGGGCTTAAGGTTTATGCCTCCTGTATTTCAAACCAAATAAAGAAGGGCAATTTGAGAGTGGAAATGAGTTGGATGCTGCACCAAACACAGTGCGAGTGCTGCAGTTTGAGTGTTCGGTTTCCTTCATCGTCTCTCACTGTAGTTGTACACTGGTCACTGAGCTGCTTCCCACTGTTGAACTGGACTGGATGGGTGACATTGTTTTACAGAGAGGAGTATGGGGGGGGGAGAGCAGCTGTGATAGATGATGAAAACTTTTCCTTCCTGTGTCCTGAGATCCATTGCAAAGGTTTATTTGCAGTAGTTATTTTCAACTTCAGTGTTAAATTACCCTTTGCATTTTCCTCCTCAGTGGGTTTTCAAGCAGGGTTTACCATCCGCCACCAGCTGCATAAATATCTACCATTACTGAGGGGAAGCCTGTATCAAGGGCTCTTGCATATCCCAGAGTGATTTGGAGACCAACTGCATATTTAAAAGCTTTCTGTTAAAACTCCTTGTATTTCTGGTTTTTAAATTGAAACCATTAGCTGCTCAGAAAAAATAGTATTCACATTTCAAAAAACATAAACTGCACATAATACAGGGGCCCTCCTGCTGCATATAGCACTCGCTCTGGGTCTTTGGCAGCATGTCGGAGCGAGTGAAGGACTCGCTGCCAAAGTGCTGCTGAAGGCCTGGTAGGGAACCGCCCAGTGAGTACAAGCCCCCTGTCCCCCGTCCCCCCCCATCTGACCCCCACCCACGTCCTGCCCCCCTCAGAACCTGCAACCCATCAACTCCCCCCCCCCGCTCCTTGTCCCCTGACCACCCCCTCCCGAGACTGCCCACCCTAACTGCCCCCCAGGATTACCCCACCCACAGTGCTGGGCCACTCAGGTTAAGTCTTTTTAAAAAGGACATGATAAAAGCAATGGGAGGTCTTCATAAAACAGGATTTAACAGAGGGATCCATTTGCCATCGTAGTATAGATCAATAGAAACAATCCTGTGAAAGCTTAAGCGCCAAATCCTCTTGTGATTGGATAAACACAAGTTAAGTGAGGCATGAAGTCTGTTTTTTCAGAAGAACCTTACATCACACTCTGGTATGAAGTAGGAGATGTTTTATTATTAATATTATCCTGCCCCATGATCTAGAATTTAGTTTGTACTCGCCTGCAAAAAAGATTGATTAGGAATTGTCAGGAATTTATAGCAGCTACTCGGTTGAAAATAATTCCTCATTGACGTGGTTTTGACATGCTGAGTGCCTTGGCATTTCAGGGAGGAGAATCACAATAAACATCCTCCAAAGGCTTTCAAGACTTTGCTTAGTCTGTCCTCTGAGCCCAAGAGCCTCTCAAACCAGAGAATGAGTTTGTGCCTGCACGTCTCTAATGGAGGGATTATAAATAAGGCTGCGTGTCTGTCACAGAGGTCACAGATTCCATGACTTTCTGTGATCTCCGTGACTTCCGCAGCGGTCACTGCGGCTGTCTCCGGGGCTGCCTGAGCAGATCAGGCAGCCCTTGGGCTAGCAGCACCAGCCACTGCTGAGTCAGTTTGGGTGTGGGAAGGGGTTGGGGTAGGGACTTGAGGTGTGGGGTGGCGCTTACCTTGGGGTTGGGGGGCTCCCCGGAAGTGGCCAGCATTTCCTTGCAGCTCCTAGGCGGAGGGACAAGGGGGCTCTTCGCGCTGTCCATGCTCCCCAGCTCTGCCCCCACAGCTCCCATTGGCTGCGGTTCCCGGCCAATGGGAGCTGCGGAATTGGAGCTCGTGGTGGGGGCAGCACGGGGAGCCCCCCCACCCTTCCCTTATGCTAGGAGCTGCAGGAACACACAGCGCCTGGTAGGGAGCCCCACCAACCCTGCTAGCCCCACCAACCCTTCTCAAGCACCAGCAGGCATCCCAGGCTGCGCGCCGTGCCCCCCTGCCGTCTTCTTCCCAGCAACAGCGCGGGTCCTGGGCCACCCCCTCCCAGCACCTGTGGCACCCACAGACCCTCCCCAAGAGCACCCTCAGCCTGAGTTTTAGTTAGGGGTATATAGTACAAGTCATGGACATATCACGGGCCATGAATTTTTGTTTACTGACCGTGACCTGTCCATGACTTTTACTAAAAATACCCGTGACTAAAATATAGCCTTAATTATAAATCAAGACACAGCTTTGTGGGTACAATGTGGTGCGAATGATCTAATTGTGAACCACCTACTTCCTGTATTTTCAGTTTGGTTTGAATCAGCAGATGGAGTTTTTTCACTAGCTGGCGTTTGGTAGGAGCCATGAATGCTTCAGTCAATGGGACTAGCTTCCTACCTTGTTGAAGCCTGACCAGGTTATCTCTGCTATACCCCTTCTATGCTACTCCATTAGTCATGAGTAAACCAATCACTAAGCTATACTACTGGAGTGGGATGCTGAAATGCAGCTTCTGGTAACTTGCCACTAATTTCATGATTGTCCACATGTGCTAGAATGCTTTACACTTGCATGGTAACTACTGTGGGTGAGTGTTTTACAAACACTAATAGTGAGCTGCAAAAGATTTTTTAAAATTTGAATTTATGGTCTGGTGTGTGCATTTATTTAATGATACAAATGCAAGGTCAAGGCCTCCTTTATCCAAAATGTCATTGAATTTAAATTGGTGTTAAAAACAAATTCAAAGGCCCAGATCCTCAAGTACTGTAAATCCGTGTAGCTCCATTAACGCACTCCCTGATGAGGAAATGGCCCAGTGAGTTTGAACAGTGTGAGAGGGAAGAGACTTGTAATCAGTCAGGTTTCCCTCCCTTGGGGATTCTGTCTCCGTTGTAGTGGCTCTCCAATCATGCTCTTCCAGCCTGGCCCCCGTCTGGATTTTTAATATAAGGCAGTGGTGTGGTGTAATGATTTTTTTTTTTAAATGGGTAAACTAACCTCCATACTCACCAAATGAGAAGTAAACTCTGTTTACCCTAGTTTATCCTTGACCATGCTACTGCTATAAGGGCTTGTCTATATGGACAGTGCAGCAAGCTGGGATGTAAATCGATCTGGCACCAGCCTGCTGCGCACTGACTGTCCCTGTGCCCCTACTGCTCTGCACTAGGAGTTCCCTAGCACACTTTGATCTACCCCGCTTAGAGATGGGAGTAGGGCAGCGTACACAAGGGGACCTTTTAGTGTGCAGTAGTGGGATCCACACACACAGTTAGTGTGTGGCAAATTTGCATCTCACTTGCTCACTGTTCATATAGACAAACCCCTAATGAACAAGCACAGCTCCCCACCCACACCTTTCAGGGCTTCATGCAGTAGGAAGAGGCACTTTTTAAAAATTAGTTTGCTGTAAATCTTGAAGCCCCTCCTCAGCCCTAGCTCTTAGGTAGATATCAGGAAGCCCATTTTCAAGGTGTGCAGCAGGAGAGAATGGCTTACTCTTTTTCCCACAGCAAATGAGGGCCAGAGTTGTTAATTATATACAAATGTCCTGACTCCAGTCTTCTGCTGTAAGCAGTAGCCTATAGACACGTCATTGTCCAGTACTTGAAAGCTAACAGGTTGTTTGCAGTCGGAGCTGGTGTATGTTAGGTTGCTTGTTTCTACATCTGTTTATCTGCTGGCACCCACCCAAGGACAGAATGAGCCTGGCCGGGGCTGCTGAGCTCCAGTGATGATCACCCTCGGGGTGCATTGCTGGAGGAACATGGAACAAAAGGTGCCCCCTCACTTTGCCTGGAGAGTATCATTTGACTTAGAGGCTGCGGTGGCAATGACCTTATATAAAGGAAGGGGGCCATTACTCCTTCTGAAAGGAGTGTGATCTTTATAATGGCTGGGCAGAGCACTAGCTGTATTCCTGAACCATGACATTTCTTGAGCTGGTGGAAGATTTTCTGACATTTTATCAGAAAATGCTAATTCAGTGGAATTGACACATTCACAGGAGCGTGTCTATTCCATCAGACCTTGCAATGGAAAGCATGTGGGCAGACTTGCTGGCTCCCCAGCCAACGTGGGCAGTGGGTTCCACAGGGTCTCTGGAATCCCTGGGCAGCTGGATTCCTCAGCTGGTGGGTTCCCCAAGTTGCCCATCAGAGAGGGCTTCCCAGACAAACAATTTCCCACCTCCTCTACTGCTTCCTACAGGAAATTTTCCAATTAATATTTTTTGTTCCAGTTCAGGATGGATTTTTTTTTTCAGACATGCATAATTTTCTGAGAGAAGGAAATCCCAGTTCTAGTAATTTCTGTACAAGTAGCTGTGGGGGTTGGCAGGGGTAAATTGCTGCATTTGGAATAAAAGACTCTTTCCGCTAGCTAGGAATATACACAACTCTCCTCTCTCTTTTCAGGGCTCTGCTCTGAAGCATCTCACTCTGCAGTTGAGGGATAATTGCACTGCTTTCCAAGAACCGGCACTAGAAGAGCAGACCCCAGCAAACTCAAAAAAGGATAAAAGTCCTTCAAATTGTAGTTATTAATAATTACCACTGCTCAGAAGGACACCATCATGTTGTGTACGCTCTATGGAGAAGTGTTTTTCTACAGAGCCCCCTGCTGAGACACTTGGGATACTGCACAATATAAAACAACCTCCCCCCCCCCCCCCCCAGCAAAAAAACCACCCATTTAAAATATATACAGCATGAATATATCAGTAGCTTTTAACTAGGCAGAATGTGATTTTTTTCCTTATATTTGATGTTTATTTTTAATCATTTTTATAGATTTAAAAACTCACAATTACAAGAAACTATGGGAAGGGTCAGATAATAACAATGACAAGAGACACTGAGATTCCATAAGTTAAAGCCTTGTAACCATTAAAACCCAAATTGGCAACATCTCATGTCAAAATATACAAAGTCAATATCCTTAAATCAAACTCTAATAAGTTCTCAAGCTGTATTTTTCTTACTTCATACAGCTGTAAATTTTGATTATTAGTGGAAATATTTTTGCCTGTTTTGTGTGTATGGTGAAATTGACGCTTAGTGACATTTACTGAGGAAAAAAATTGAATCTTTCCAAGCCTATTTATAAAGCGAGGGAATGGTAGTGGAGTTAATGCAGTCGGTAAAAGTGTCAGGTGGGTGTATACTAAAAATACACATGGAAAAGAAAGCCTTGATTGGGGAATGAGATGCTTTAAAGTTGGGTTCTGTCCTCACCCAGTGCAAACAAATACCTTCCATGAATGTTTGTCTTGGCAGAGGGGGAAGGTGTCAGTATCTTTTGCAACAGCTGAGAGCAGTTGTAAAGACTCAATTATTTAATTCCCTGTGACAGCATAAAAGGGTAGTAAAATCTATAGAGCAGCCAGGGGAAGGCCAGATGTCAGATTTCCTCTTCTGGAAAAGGAGAGAGAATCTCCCTGCCATTCAGCTATGAAAAGGGTCCTTGTCCTATCTCACCACTTAGTACAGCAGGAGGTCCTGACCCATGACCCTTCTTGGAGGTCAGGTGCAAAGTGGTGAGAGGGGTCTGTGTCTGCTGCTCCTAGGGGTTATATGACTGTTGTGAAAACCCTTTCTCTTCATTCTACCACAGCCACAATCTCTGTGTCAGTTTTCTGGCTAAAACATAGCTCAGTTCCATCTAATTTCCAAATACCTGATCTTCAGAAACCAGGCTAGAAACATGTTGCTTATGGATGGTCGTGAATGAATGGAATGGTGGCAGAGGTGCTGAGCATCCAGAACTCCCATTGATTTCCACTGGAGTGGGGCAGGCTCTGCACTTCTGAAAATCAGGCCCTGAATGTTTAAAGTGTACTTTGTGAGCTCAACAGTGTCAAAAGGCTGGATCAATAGCACTGAAGACTGAGCCCCAGATCGTAAGAGTGGCCATACTGGTTCAGACCAATGGTCCGTCCAGCCCAATGTCCTGTCTCCTGACAACAGCAAACGCAGGGTGCTTCGGAGGGAATGAACAGAATAGGCCAATTTATCAGGTGATCCATCCCATTGTCCACTCCCAGCTTTGGGCAATCAGAGAGGCTTAAGGACACCCAGAGCAAGGTGTTGCATTCCTGATCATCTTGACTAATAGCCATTGATGGACCTATTGGCTAATGTCTGTGAAAAAGCAGCAGCTTTTCCTGGAGGCCACCAAGGATATGGACACTTTAGGCGTGAAGCTCCTGCCATCTTCTTGGGGCCCTACATTTTTCCACTCCTGCCTAAATGACAAAGCACTGCAAAGATCTAAGTATCCAGCATGGCCAGGAGGAGGAATTAAGTGGCAAATCAGCAGATGATGATGTTCTTCATGGATCAAGAGCTTGAGAAGCATCCCACAAAAGGTAACAGAGATAGAAGGAGTTAGGC